GTTGTTTTTATTCTCTAGATCTTTTATTTCTGCTGTTCTTTATTTCCATCCTTCTAACTATGGGCTTAAAATTTTCTGTTTTAGATCCTTGAGGTATAAAGTTTAGTTGAGGTCTAAAGTAGGAAATTATTGCTATGAACTTCCCTTTTAGAATTGCTTTTGCTTCATCTCACAAGTTTTAGAATGTTACATTTCCATTTTCATTTCTCCCAAGATATTTCTTGATTTTGTTTTGGTTTCTTCTTTGATCCACTTGTTCAGTAGCATGTAGTTGAATCCCCATATATTTGTGATTTTTCCATTTTTCTTCTTGTAATTTCTAATTTTATACAATTATGAATAAAAAAGATGCTTGATATGATTTTAATCTTAAATTTATTAAGATTTGTACTGTGGTTTAATATATGATCATGGAGAATGGACCAAGTGTGTTTGAGAAAAATGTGTATCCTGCAGCTTTTGGAAGGAAAGTTCTGTAAGTGTCTATTAAGTCCATTTGGTCTAAAGTGTCATTAAGTGTAATGTTTCCTTACTGATTTTCTGTATGGGTGATCTAATCATTGATGAAAGCACAGGGTACTGAAGACTCCTACCATTATTGCATTGCTCTCTAATTTTCCCTTAAAGTTTGTTAATTTTTGCTTTATATATTTAGATACTCCATTCTTTGGTGCATAAGTTTTAGCAAATGTTGTATCCTCTTGTTGGATTGATCCCTTTATTATTATACAATGACCTTCTTTCGCCTTTTTCTTGAAATCTGTTTTGTATAAGCATAATTATCTCAGCTTTCTTTTGTTTTCCATTTGAAAATATCTTTTTCCATCCTTTCACTTGCATTCTGTGTGTGTCCTTACATCTGAAGTGAGACTCCTGTTGGCAGAATATAGTGCGGTCTTGTTTTCATTAATCCATTCGCCACTCTATGTTTTAATTGGAGAATTCAGTCCATTTAAAGTTATTATTAATAGGTAGGGACTGACTGTAATTCTGTTGTTTTCTGGCTGTTTTGTAATACCTTCGTTTCTTCTTTTGCTCCCTTTCTTTGTGATCTGATGGCTTTCTGTAGTGGTGTGTTTCAATCCCTTTCTCTTTATCTTTTGTGTGTCTCCTATAGGTTTTTGCTTTGTGGTTACCATGAGGCTTACATAAAACATATTTATAACAGCTGATTTGAAGTAGATAATAACTTAAGTTTGAAAACATTCTAACGCTCTACATTTTTACACCCTGCACTACATCTATTTTTGGTGTCACAATTTACATCTCTTTAACTTGCATATCCATTAATAAGTTACTATATTTATAGTTATTTTTTAATACTTTTGCCGGTTTTTTTTGAGAGACATAGAGTGAGCAGGGGACAGGCAGAGAGAAAAGGAGAGATAGAATCCCAAGCAGGCTCCCCATTGTCAGTGCAGAGCCCTCACCAACCGTGAGATCATGACCTGAGCTGAGATCAAGAACTGGAGGCTTAAATGACTGAGCCACCCAGGCACCCCAATACTTCTGTCTTTTAACTTTCACATTAGATATATAAGTGATCAATCCATCACCATTAAAACATTATTCTAAATTCAACTATATATTTATTTTTACCAGTGAGATTTACACGTTCATTTGTTTTCCTGTTACTAAATATTACCCTTTTGTTTCAGCTAAAAGAAATCCCTTTAACACTTCTTGTAAGGCCAGTCTAGTAGTGCTGAACTCTTCAGCTTTTGCTCATAAGGAAAACTCTTTCTCTCTCCTTCAATTCTGAAGGACAACATTGTTTGGTAGAGGATTCTTGTTTGGCAGGCTTTTTTTTTTTTCTTTCAGCACTTGAATATTTTTTGTCACTCCATTCTGACCTGCAAAGTTTCTGCTGAAAAAAAAATCTACTGATATCTTCTAAGGATCCCTTGTATATAAAAAAAGTTTTTTTTTTCTCTTGCTGCTTTTATGTCTTTCAGTGGGTCTGTTTGGATTCATCCAATTTGGAACTCTTGGGCTTCTCGAGTCTGGATGTCTGTTTCCTTTCTTAGCTTAGGGACATTTTCAGCCATTATTACTTCAAATAAGCTTTCCACTTTTCCTTTTCTCCATCTGGGATCTTTACATTGTGAATACTAGTCTGCTTGATGCTGTCCCACAAGTGTCTTAAACTATCTTCAATTTTTTTTCTCCTCTGACTGAATTCCATTGCCCAGTCTTCAAGTTTGCTGATTCTTTCTTCTGCTTCATCTAGTGTTGTTAAATTCCACTACTGATTGTTTTAGTTATGTATTCTTCAGCTATGTGATTTTTGTGTGGTACCTCCTTATATTCTCTCTTTTGAAATTCTCACTTTGTTCAGACATTATTCTCCAGACCTTGGTGACTATCTTTAGGACCACTATTTTGATCTCTTTATCAGTTAAATCATCTATCTCTCTATCATTAATGTGTTTTTATGAGGTTTTATCTTTAAGGTACAGAGAATTTGACTGATACATGCCCCTGGGATCTTTGTAATTTTATACAGCAAGTTCATCCCATCTGTGTTAATGTAGATTCCTTCTCTAAGGATAATGGCAATGAATTTATCCTGACAATAATGTATTTCAATATATTTGTAATTTATAAAGTACTATGGAACTTGGCATTTAATTTCCAATTATAAGAATGTAACTCTATTTTCCAAGAATGTTTAACAATGTTCCAAGTATTAAGTCCCTTCACCACAAGGTTATTGGCAAATACAAATTCAGTTAATTCTTTTTATTCCAACTTTTTGGTAAACAAGCCCAGGCCTATTACATTTCCAATAATACTTCATCTACTCTCGGATGACATCCTAAATAGCAGTGCTAATAAATGTATAAATAAAAACTCTAGTCAGTATTGTATGTATGTAGAAAAGTTATAATATCTAGATTACTACTTTTCTGTGTGTGTGTTATGCATGTATTATGTATATAATTAAAAACCTTAGTATATATTCATGAGAGACTATATCTGTTACTTTCTCTTAATCTTTTTGGACTTTTATTTTGCCACTTTTTCAAAAAGTCCATCAGTTTCTTTCAATATCTAAAAATTAATTTTGGGATGTGGTTTTTCATCTATAGAATGTCCAGAGTCATGGCAAAAAGAAAATGTTTTAACTTTATATAATTCTTTTATTTTCACAAACACTATCTTATTTAATAATTTTCAAAAATACAAGTACTATAGTCTTAGTATATTCCAACTAAGGCATACTAGGAAACTAAGGAGTCGCACTAAGTATTATGAGATAAATGCAACTCTCTTCCTTAGGGAATTTACAAATGTAATACAAAACATTAAAGAACATAAACAACTATAAGATAGTAGGTAATGACACAAATTGACGAAAAGTGCTGTAAGTTCAAAATAAGAGTTGTAAACTTTTTGGTGAGGATATGAGGTAAGTCTTCATGGAAGAGGTAACATTTGAGTGATTTTCTAAAGGAAAATATTTCAATAGGTAGGAAAAAATGGGGGAAGGGTAAGAAAAAGAGGGTAGTTTAGATAGAGAAGAAATACAAGGTAAAAGCACAGAGACAAAAAAGAACCAAGTATATTTTGGGTATATTAAGTCTTTCATCTAGGGAGAGCACAGTCTACTCAAAAGACTAATGTGAGGTAAGAAGTACCAGTGGACAGATGTCATGGAGATAAATTAGTAATTTCCAAAATGTAGTCTCTGCACGAGAACATAGCATCATTTGGTAATTTGCTAGACATGTAAAATCTCTCATATTGCCCCTCTCCTTTCCTTAATGCTATTGATCTACTCTTTACTATTAATGTAATCCTGGCTTAGTTACATAGCCTCTCTAATGCTTAGTTTTCAAAACCTGAGTGATTGTAAGGATTAATATAATCTTTGAAATATAATGTATTGTATAGTGTCTAGTATATTATGGATAATCAATAAATACTGGCCACTTTTCCCTTAAAAAGTACATTGGGATTAGATGAAGAAGGTCATGAATTCCCTGTAAAGATGTAGACCTCTTTTTTTTAATTATTAAATTTTTAATTTCAATTCCAGTATAGTTAACATACAGTGTTATATTAGTTTCAGATGTACAATATAATGATTCCACAAATCTATACATTTCTCAGTGCTCATTATGATAATAGTAATCTTAATCACCTTTACCCACTGCATCCATCTCCTCACCCACCACCCATCTGGCAACTACCAATTTATTCTCTTTAAGTCTTTTTTTTCTGTTTGTTTCATAAAGTCCACATATGAGTGAAATCATATGGTATTTGTCTTTACGTGAGTTATTTCACTTAGCATTATGTCCTCTAGATCCACTCATGTTGTTTCAAATGACAAGATTTCATTCTTTTTATGGCTGAATAGTATTCCATTCTATAGATATACCACATCTACTTTATCTATTCATCTATGGATGGACACTTGGGTGCCTTCCATATCTCAGCAATTATAAATGATGCTGCAGTAAATATAAAGATGCATATATCCTTGAATTTGTTTTAATTTTTTTGGGCAAATACCCAGTAGTGAAATTACTGGATCATATGTGGTAAATCTATTTTTAATTTTTTGAGAAACCTCGTATTATTTTCCATAGTGGCTACACCAGCTTGTATTCCCACCAACAGTGCATGAGGATTCCTTTCTCTCTACATCCTTGCCAGCACTTGTTAATTCTTGTTTTTTATTTTAGTTATTCTGAACAGGAGTGAGGTGGGTATCTCACTGTGGTCTTGATTTGCATTTCTGATGATTAGTGATATTGAGTATCTTTTCATGTGTATGTTGTCTCTCTGTATGTTTTCTTTGGAAAAAAGTCTGTTCATGTTCTGCCTATTTTTAATTGGATTATTTCACCATTTTTTGGTGTTCAGTTGCTTAGCTTCTTTATATATTTTGGGTGCTAACCCTTTATCATATATGTAATTAGCAAATATCTTCTTGCATTTATTAGCTTGTCTTTTTGTTTTGTTGGTTTCCTTGGCTTTGCAAGAGCTTTTTATTTTGGTGTAGTCCCAACAGTTTAATTTTGCCATTTGTTTCCCTTGCCAAAGAAGACAGATCTAGAAAAATGTTTTGATAGCAGGTGTCAAAGAGATTACTACCTATGTTTCTTGTAGGAATTTTATGGTTATAGGTCCTACATTAGGCCTCTAATCCATTTTGAGTTTATTTTTGTGTACCATGTAAGAAAGGCGTCCAGTTTGATTCTTTTCAGTCTAGCTGTTCAGTTTTTCCAACATCACTTATTGAAGAGACTGTCTTTCACCCATTGTATATTCTTGCCTCCTTTGTCATAGACCAATTGACCATAAAATCATGGGTTCATTTCTGGGCTCTTTATTCTGTTCCATTGATCTATTTGTCTATTTTGTCCCAGAACCATACTGTTTGGATTCCTACAGTTCTTCAGCATGTATTGAAATCTGGGATTGTGACACCTCCAGTTTTGTACTTCTTTTTCAAGACTGCTTGGGCTATGTTCAGAGTCTTTTGTAATTACATATAAATTAGAAGATTATTTGTTCGGGCTTTGTGAAAGATGTTGCTGGAATTTTGATGGATTGCATTAAATCTGAGATTGCTTTGGGTGGTATCGACATCTTAACACTATTGGTTCTCCCAACCCATAAGCATGTAATACTTTTTCCATTTGTATCATCTTCAATTTTTTGATCAATGTTTTATACTTTTTCCAATTACAGGTCTTTTATGTCTTTGGTTAGGTTCATTCCTAAGCATCTTATTTTTTTGGTGCAATTGTAAGTGGGATTATTTTCTTAATTTCTTTGTTACTTCATTATTGGTGGATAGAAATCCAACAGATTTTTGTATATTAATTTTGTATCTTGAGATTTATTGCATTCATCAATTCTAGTAGTTTTTTGGTGGAGTCTTTAGAGTTTTCTATATATAGTATCATGACATCTGCAAATAGTGAAAGTTTTACTTCTTCCTTATCAGCCTGGATGTCTTTCATTTCTTTATCTTGTGTATTTGCTGTGGCTAGGACTCTCAGTATTATATTGATTAAAAGTGGTGAGAATGGACATCCTTGTCTTATTCCTGATGTTAGAAGAAAAGCTCTCAGTTTTTCACCACTGAGTATGATTTTAGTTGTGGGTTTTCATGTATTACCTTTATTATGTTGAAGCATGTTCCCTATAAATATATTTGAGAGTTTTTTCATGAAAGGATGTTATACTTTGTGAAATGCTTTTTCCGCATCTATTGAAATGATTATATTGTTTTATATCCTTTCTCTGGTTAATGTGATGTATGATTTTGATTAATTTGAGAATATTGAACCACCCTTGTATCCCTGGAATAAATTCCACTTAATCATGGCAAATGACTTTTTAAATGTATTGTTGGATTTGGTTTGCTAATAATTTGTTGAAGATTTTTGCATGTATGTTCATCACAGATATTGACCTATAGTTTTCTTTTTTTGTGGTGTCTTTCTCTGGTTTGGTTATTAGGGCAATGCTTGCTTCATAGAATGAATTTGGAAGTTTCTCTTCCTCTATTTTTTGGAATAGTTTGAGAAAAATAGGTATTAACTCTTTTTTAGTGTTTGCTAGAACTCACCTGTGAAGCCATCTGGTCCTGGACTTTTGTTTGTTGTGATTTTTTTTTTTTTAAGTTTACCTATTTATTTTGAGACAGCGAGTGCAAGAGGGAACTGCGGGGGGGGGGGGGGGTGGGTGGGAGGGAGGGAGAGACAGAGAGAGAGAGAGAGAGAGAGAGAGAGAGAGAGAGAGAGAGGGAGGGAGAGAGGGAGTATCTCAAGAACGCTCCATGTTGTCAGTGTGGGGCCTGACGTTGGGGCTCAAACCCATGACCCATGAGATTATGACCTGTCACGAAATCAAGAGTCAGATGCTTAACTGACTGAGCAACTGTGGAGCCCTTGGGAATTTTTTGATTACTGATTCAATTTCATTGCTAGTAACCGGTCTGTTTAAATTTTGTACTTCTTCCTGATTCCATTTTGGGAAGTTACATGTTTTTAGGAAATTTGCTTTTCCTCCAGGTTGTCCAATTTGTTGGTATATAATTTTTGTAATATTCTGTCATAATCATTTGTATTTCTTTTTTTTTTTAATTTTTTTTTCAACGTTTATTTATTTTTGGGACAGAGAGAGACAGAGCATGAACGGGGGGAGGGGCAGAGAGAGAGGGAGACACAGAATCGGAAACAGGCTCCAGGCTCTGAGCCATCAGCCCAGAGCCCGACGCGGGGCTCGAACTCACGGACCGTGAGATCTTGACCTGGCTGAAGTCGGACGCTTAACCGACTGCGCCACCCATGCGCCCCTAATCATTTGTATTTCTGTGGAACTGGCTGTTATTTCTTCTCTTTCATTTCTAATTTTATTTTTTGAGTCCTCTCTCTCTCTTTTGATAATTCTGACTAAAGGTTTATCAATTTTGTTGATTTTTTTTCAAAGAACCAGCTCTTGGTTTCATCTGTTATGTTTTTTTAAAATTTCTATTTCATTTATTTCTGATCTAATCCTTATTATTTCCTTTCTTATAATGGCTTTGGGTTTTATTTATTCTTCATCTAGCTCTTTTAGGTGTAAGCTTAGGTTGTTTATTTGAGATTTTTGCTCCTTCTTGAGGTAGGCCTCAAGATTGTTATAATTATTGTATTGTTAAAAAAACTTGCAACAAACAAAAGTCCAGTACCAAATGACTTCACAGGGGAATTCTAGCAAATGCTTAAAAAAAAGTTAATACCTATTTTTCTCAAACTATTCCAAAAAAATACAGGAAGGGAAACTTCCAAATTCATTCTATGAGGCAAGCATTGCCATATACATATACATATACATATACATATACATATACCTGTACATATACATATGTATGTAATTATAGTATATATATATATATACACATATAATTCTATTTTATATATAATACTATATATAATTGTTAATAGAATTATAATATAATTGTATTGTTATAATCTTCTCTCTTAGAACAGCTTTTGCTGCCTCCCAAAGATTTTGGACCAGTATGTTTTCATTTTCAATTGTCTCTATAGATTTTTTTGATTTCCTGGTGGACCCATTCACTATTTAATAGCACTTTTTTTTTTTATCTTCAATGTATTTGTATTCTGTCCAAATTTTTTCATTTCTAGTTTTACATTGTTGTGGTCAGAAAGGATGCATGATATGATTTCAGTCATTTTGATTTTGTTTAGACCTGTTTTGTGGCCTAATCATATGATCTATTCTGGATAATGTTCCATGTACACTTGAAAAGAGTGTGTATTCTGCTGTTTTTGGATGGGAAGTTTTGAATACATCTGTTAGATCCATCTGGTACAATGTGTCATTCAAAGCCACTGTTTCCCAGTTAATTTTCTGTCTGGATGATCTATCTATTGATGTAAGTAGGGTGTTGAATTCCCCTACTATTATTGTATTATTGTCAATTTCTTTCTTCATGCCTGTTAATAGTTGCTTTATGTATCTGGATGCTTCTACATTGGGTAAATAAATATTTACAATTGTTATAGCTTTTTGTTGGATTGCTCCCTTTGTACATATGTAGTGTCCTTTTTTTGACTCTTATTACAGGCTTTGTTTTAAAATCTATTTTGTACAAGATAAGTATTGCTATGTCAGCTTTCTTTTCACTTCTATTTGCATAATAAATGTTTTTCCATTCCTTCACTTTGAATCTGCAGGTGTCTTTAGGTGTGAAATGAGTCTCTTGTAGGCAGCTTATAAATGAGACTTGCTTTTTACGCATTCAGTCACCCCATGTCTTTGGAGCATTTATTCCATTTAAATTCAAAGTAATTATTGATAGGTACATACTTATTGCCATTTTGTTACTTCCTTTATGGTTGTTTTTGTAGTTCTTTGTTCTTTTCTTCTCTTGCGCTCTTTCCTTGTGGTGTATGATTTCTGTAATGATATGCTTGGATTCCTTTCTCTTTATTTTTTGTGTATCTACTACAGGCTTTTGATTTGTGATTTCCACCAGGATTATATATAACATCCTACGCATACAGCAGTCTATATTAGGATGATGGTGCTTAAGTTTGACACTATCCTGAAGAACCAAAGTTTTATTCTCTCCCCAAGTTTTCATGTATATGATGTCATACTTTCCATGCTTTTATCTTGCAAATACTTTGACTGATTTTTATAGATACAATTGATTTTTATTATTGTTGCACTTTAACCTCTGTACTGGTTTTATAAGTGATCGATGTACTACTTTAATCATGTTTGTATGTACCTGTGAAATTTTTTTTTTCATAATTTTTTAAGGCCTGATTATGGCTTTTTCTTTCTACTCAAAGAATTCCCTTTAACATTTCTTGTAAGGGTAGTTTAATGGTGAGGAATTCTTTAACTTTGGTTAGTCTGGAAAACTCTTTAAAGCTCCGTCTATTTGGATTGAGAAGCTTGCTGGATATTCTGGTTGCAGATTTTTTCCTTTCAACACTTTGAACATATCAATGCCACTCCCTTTTGGTCTGTAGAGTTTCTACTTAAAAAAAAAAATCACTAATAGGTTTACAGAGTTTCTCTTGTATATAACTGTTTTCTTTTCTGTTGCTACTTTAAAAATTCTTTTTGTCATACTTTTTGCCATTTTAATTATTATGTGTCCTGGTATAGACTCCTTGGGTTGATTTTGTAAGGGGCTTGATTTTGCCTCCTGGATCTGAATGTCTGTTTCCTCAGACTAGGGATGTTTTCAGCTACTACTTTTTCAAATAAATTTTATGCTCCCTTTTCTCTCTCCTCTTACTGAAATCCCCATAATGAAAATATTATTAACACTTGATACTATCACTGAGTTTCCTTAATCTATTCTCAATTTTTATTATTTTTTGTATTTGCTGTTCAGCTTGCTTGCTTTACATTACTCTGTCTTCCAACTTGCCAATCTGTTCCTCTGCTTCTGTTTGTCTACTATTTACTCCCTCTTGTGTATTTTTTATTTCAGTTATTGAGTTCTTCACCTCTGGTTATTTTATATATTTTCTATCTCTTTGTTGAAGGTCTCACTGAGATCCTCTCACTGTTTTCTCAAGTCCAGTAAGTATGTTTGTAACTATTATATTGAATTCTTTATAAGGCATATTACTTATCTTCATTTCATTTAGCTCCTTTGCTGTGATTTTGTCTTGTTCTTCAATTTGGGACACATTCCTCTTTCTCCTCATTTTGTCCAACTTTGTGATTTTTATCCTACATATTAGGAAAGTCAACATTTCCTGATCAAGAAGTCTTGTAGTGTCTTGTAGTGCAATGTCCCCTGTTCACAAGAACGTGTTGCTTCAGGGCTGTCTCCTATGTGTGTTGCTTGCATTCCACTGTTGTGGCTGAGCCATGTCTGCCTTCAGTCCAGTTGGCTTCCATGGCCCTCTGTGCTTGTGGTGGGCAGAGTTTGGTCTCTGTGCAGTTA